GTCTTTACAGAGTTTTGGAACTTCATAAGTTACTCTTGCAAGAAAAAAAAAAAGTATTTGCTGACATTCCACTTCTGGTATGTCTGAGGGCAGATTTAAGTTAGAGAATGAAGCAAACTCTAAAGTAGTCAGTGATTCTTTAACATGAAGGGTTTTTTGTATGCTCACACTTAGATTTCTAGTCAGTCTTTGGTTGTGGATTGTTTTTTTTATAACTGGTGAGCTAATTTAAAAAAATATAATTTCATGCTTGCACTATGTCATTGGTCATACTATCTATATTAACCAAATAAAAGCATGTTTCTGGAGCAACAGATCACTTTGAATTATCTTTTATGAAAGTTAGTGCCTGAAAAATATATTCTCAATAGTCTAGAAAGCAAATGATGAAAGCACTTGCCTAGAAAGCAAATGATGAGAGGATGATGAACATAATCAAAGTCTTTGGGGGGATTATTTGTTTCATTTTGGGGGGTTTTGTTTTGTTTTATTAAAACCTATTTCTCTGTCAAAATAATGCTTTCTGGAGAATATGTCTGTGGTCCTGGAATCATGGTATGACCATTGTATTATCTGAGATTTTGTAATGAAGGCCTGTATCCATTTCCTACTACACTTTTAAGAGAATTGCCAGTCTTCCAGTGGTGGACACACATCAAGTCACCCAAGTTCACTCTCATGGTGGAGAAGGCAGAGTTGTGAAATTCAGCTGAAAATGTAACTGTTAACAGTTACTGTCTGAATTTGGTCAGAAGGATGAGATTGGAGGCCTTAGGTCATACAAAAACAAGACCCCATTGGTTCCAGAAATTAGAACAGAAAAACTAAATATAAAATATTTAATATAATAAATATGAAATATCCCTTTCCTGTTTTCTAGTTTCCTTCTCCTGATCCAGAATTTTGTTTGAGAGAAGATGCCATAAAAAGAATTACTCATAAAACAGAACTCAGTTGCAAGAATGCAACATTTAAGTAATGTAGAGCCCATTTAAATCACACACACTAGTAAATATTTTTAATAAAATATTGTTTAGAACTTTACTATTGCTACTTTTTGCTTCAGTGTGTCAAATACAAAAAAAAAAACAAATTAAAATCTCTTACTGCTACAAAAATATCCTGAGAAATTGTCCCATATTTCTGCATTTAGTGATGCATTCAATATTTTAAAAATCTGCTTTAAGCTATAAAAATGCTTTTCATATTGAAAACAGAACACCATCTCCCTTGCCAAAATATTTCAGAGGAGCATACAGCTTGTTCAGTCACTGTTGTAATTATAATAAATCTTTTGTTTGTGTTTGAGGTCTGTAAAGGGAGTGAAAAATTATAGGAATTCTTTGGGGTAAATTGTAGGAAAATTACCATTTTCAGGAAATGTTTATTTGGCATATATGACTAAAAAAAAATTTTTAATGCTATTTGAGAAACACTTGCAGGACAGTGACACAATAAAGTCAAAACCAATGGGCAGTTTTGTTGGTGGTCTGAACAAGTGAAAGCCTTTTTAAGTCTCCTGCAGTGATTGGTACTGTCTGCAGGCAAACTAGCAATCTCAGCCCCGTGGATTATTTTAGCATGGTACTGTGTATATGCAAAAAAAGCCTCAGCCTGATTTGTTTGAGATTAACAAAATACACAAAACAGCCATTTTTTCACCATTATCGCCTGAGTGCATCATGGAAGCCTCTGCCTGTCAAGTTTATTAGAGTTTTGAGGAAGTTTGAGTAAGTAACACCCATTACACTGACACTTGGATAAAAAGAAGACTCTGGAAAGTTACACACAGCTTTGGCAGCATGGGTGAAATGAATAGGGAGTAAACAGATGACAATGTCTTCCAGAACAATAACCCTTGTGACTGTATCTGAGGAGTTTTGCAATACTTTTTGAAAGTAGCTGATGGCTTTTTTAAACATTTTTTTCAGCTATGGCAGTGTTCTGTCAGTGTGTTAAATAAATTATTCAGCAAATATTTCTTTTATTATTCATCTAAGTGTTGCAAGTTCCCTTACCTGCCTCTAAAACTTCTCTGAAATGAAGATTGACAAAAGAAAAAGAAAAGCCATCCAAGACTAAAAAGGAACTTTTCTGGGGGTCAAAACACGAGCAAAAACCTTGAACAATCATTTCACACTTGCAGACCTGAGTTCAAAATCCACTACCAGTGTTCCCAGGAGGTAACTCAGTTCACACTCTGTTGCTTTCTCTGGGTGACTAAAAGAAAATGCAGTATAAGGTTGGACATTATTTCCCTCCTCTTCCCCTTTCTGAATCATTACTACTGTTCAGTCTCAGCAATATATCAACAAGACGTGCCAAACAGAAGAAATGGTAGCAGAAATCATTCTATGCAACACGTTTGCTGCATGTTTTCCAGTGACATATTTAAAATTGGGTGTGAAGATAGCAATATGATGATAATAGGTCTCATCATGGAGAATTGATTTTCTAGAATTTCTAGAATTCAACCTAGAAAAAAAATCCACTTCTGCACTATCATTCTCACTAATAATTTACCAAGTGAACCTGCCATAGTCTCTGCATGGCTTGATTACTGACTGTTTTTACCTTGGGGGCTACTAGTAGGAGGACTAAGTGGAGAGGGAAAATTGATCAAGAACTTGCTTATTTAAAATATTTTACTAACCTTGATTTTGGCTAAGTGCTGACTCTAGTGCTAAGGCAGTCATTGCTGCAGTGGGCTGGGCAGCACCTCACCCTGTGCACTGTTTTCAGAAGCTCTGCAGGTCAGGTTGAAACTCAGCATTTCCACGTTGCTTGCTTGTATGATGATTCTACTGCTGTTTTTAGGGGATCAGTGGCTTTCTCTTCTGCATGTACTGTTTTACAGTCAACTGTGGAACACTGATGGGACTAATGGGGTTGTTAAATTTCACTGCAAGGATGATTTCCTCTGGTTGAAAGAATTTGAAAAACGGTTGCCATTCAGCAGGCTGAGAGATGCAACTTAATGATGTGTATTGAAAATGCCACCCAGATGCAACCCTAGTCAGTGATTAAGAGGTATGGAAATCTAGGACCAAAATCTGTGATTTGGAAAAATTGTGAAGATGTGCTGGATTTGGTTGGGGTGAAGTTAATTTTCTTCAATGTGGCTGGTGTGGAGCTATGTTTTGGGTTTGTACTGAACACATTGATGGTAACACAGAGATGTTTTAGTTACTGCTGAGCAGAGCTTACACAGAGCCAAGGCCCTTCCTGCTTCTCACACTGCCACGCTGGCAGGGAAGCTGGGGGTGCTTGGGAGACCGGGAGGAGACACAGCCAGGAGAGGTGACCCCAAGTGACCAAAGGGCCATTCCAGACCACGTGACATCTTGTTCAGGATATAAAGTGCAGGGAAGAAGAGGGAAGGGGACATGTTTGGCGTGATGACATTTGTCTTCCCAAGTGACACTTGGATGTGATGGGCACTGCTCTCCTGGAGATGGCTGAACTACTTTACCCTTCCAACTCTCTGCCCAGTTCTGTTGGTGGGAGAGTGAATGAGTGGGGTTAAACTATGACATTTTTTGAGGCTTGATGTGGTCAGTGTTCTGAAAGTCCATTTTTTCTCTTACTCATTTTCTTTTTTTTTTTTTTTTTTTTTTTTTTTTTGTCATTTTAGTACCAAGCTATTTATTATAGTAAGCAATCTACAGACTAAACCTTCCCAGAGCCTTGCATTGCTAATTCCAGTAAATTGCACCCTTATTACAAGTAATATGAGTGATGTATAAAACTTCCTAATTACTTTTGCTCCCCTTTAACACTCCCATACTATGATCTGGCTGATATTTTTACAGGGTCCCTGCAGATACAAATCAAAGTGATGATAACAAATAGCACACATGACTATGTCTTTGCAGGAAGTTCAGTGAGATAAATCAATGGAGAAATAATATACTTGTTAAATGTTCCATAAATCTCCCCCAGATGACTGATTCACAGTGCTTTACTTAGGTATATTCAGAATCTATTTGGGTTTCAAAATGCGCAGTTATCTTGATTTATTTAAAAGCGGAACAGCAGAAGGAAAGCCTCAGTTCCTATTCCCATCGGTTGTTCCCTGTTTCTGCGGCAGACTCGGTGGGGAAGCGATTTTCTGGCCCCGCGCAAGGCAGGGGGGCCCCCTGCGGGCGGGATCCCTCTGTCTCCGGGGAAGCGGTGGCTGCTGCCTCGCCTTCGCCCAAGCGCTGCCCCGAGAGCTGGGCTTCACATCTCGATGTCCGTGCCGTTCGCTTTAAAATGAGGGAGAGACACCGTCTCCCGAAGCCCCAAAAGCAGGAGAGGCGTTCGTGGGTCCCTGTCCGGAGTGCGGTCATTCAGGGGAGGGCGAAGCGCGGTCCGGCTCGGTGCCGAGGTTTCTCAAGCGAAAAGCGCGGGTGGTTTCCCCGTCACCCGGCGGCTCGGCGAAGGTGCGACATTCCCAAAACTTGTCCCCACGCAGGAGGGGAATGGTTTTGTGAGAGCTGATCCGCGGCGACCACTTCGGGGACGGGAATCCTATCGGGACTGGGGAGAATCACATCGGGGAGAAAGTGGGAATCGCATCGGGAGATGGGGGATCATATCGGGGGAGAGAGCGTGACCTCGGGGAGCGGGGAGAGGGCATCGCCCCTGGCCGCGCTCTTGCCGCACTGAGTCCCCGGGAGCGCCCGGCTGATTCACACTCGGGGCCAGGTGTGCGGGAGGCGAAGGGACGGGACGGGACAGAACGGAACAGAACGGAACGGGACGGGAGGAGACAGTACGAGACGGGGGCGATCCGCGGGAGCAGCCGTGAGGGCAGCGGGGCGCGCTCAGCACCCGGGAGAGCTCCGCGCCCACCGCGCATGCCCCGCCCCGCCGGCGCGGATAAAAGCGCGGCGCGGAGCCGAGCGGCGCCAGCCGTGCCAGCGCACTGCCGGCAACGCGCGCTCCCTCACCCTGCCGCCGCTGATCAGCCCCTGGGGGAAAAGCTCCCGCGGACCCGTCTCCCACCCTAGCATGGGATGGGCGAGCCCTGCGAGCGCGGTGCCTGCTCCCCAGCCTCTGGCATAAAGGAAGGAGCGGACGCGGAGTCCTGGGACACGCCGCTGGGTTTCCTGGAGAGCGCTCAGATGGACAACGGGAGCAACGTGTCCTTCTTGCAGTTCAAGACGATCAACGTGGAGCGAGCCGACGGGATGCAGGGGGACAGTTCCGACGTGGTGCGGATTGTCATCTCCCTGGTGTACTCCGTGGTGTGTGCCCTGGGACTGGTGGGCAACCTGCTGGTGCTCTACCTGATGAAAAGTAAGCAAGGCTGGAGGAAATCCTCCATCAACCTCTTTGTCACCAGCCTGGCAGTGACTGACTTCCAGTTTGTGCTGACCTTGCCATTCTGGGCAGTGGAGAATGCGCTGGACTTCAACTGGCTCTTTGGGAAGGCAATGTGTAAGATCGTCTCCTATGTGACAGCAATGAATATGTATGCCAGTGTATTCTTTCTCACTGCTATGAGTGTGGCTCGATACCGCTCTGTAGCTTCAGCCTTGAAAAATCAGCGTCGAGGTGACCCACTGGGTGGCTGCTGCTCTGCCAAGTGGCTTTGTGCACTCATCTGGCTGTCAGCTGTCCTGGCTTCTCTGCCCCATGCCATTTTTTCCACCACTGCCACTGTCTTTGATGATGTTCTCTGTCTTGTCAAGTTCCCAGAGGGCCGAGGCAGCAATGCCCAATTCTGGCTGGGTCTGTACCACATCCAGAAGGTGCTGCTGGGCTTTGTGGTGCCGCTGGTCATCATTTGTCTCTGCTACTTGCTCCTGGTGCGCTTCATCAGTGACAAGCATGTGGGCAGCACCTGCAGTGGCCCCAGAATCAAGCGCCGCTCCAAAGTGACTAGGTCAGTGTCCATCGTGGTGCTGTCTTTCTTCTTGTGCTGGCTGCCTAACCAAGCACTTACAACATGGGGGATACTCATCAAGCTCAACATAGTGCCCTTCAGTAACGAGTACTTTCTCTCCCAAGTGTACATCTTCCCCATCAGCGTGTGCCTGGCACACTCCAACAGCTGCCTCAATCCTGTCCTCTACTGCCTCATGCGCAGGGAGTTCCGCAAGGCACTGAAGAGCCTCCTCTGGAGGATCACCTCACCTTCCCTCACCACCATGCGCCCTTTCACTGACACCACCAAGCCTGAGAAGGAGGAGCAAGCCCTGCATGCCGTGATGCCTGTCCACCCTGCCCCTGCTGCTGCCCGTGCTGCAGCTGTCCAGGCAGAGATGGCCTATTACCCCCCCGGGGTGGTGATGTACAACAGCCGCTACGACCTGCTGCCTGTTGGCTCCATGGAGCATCACTGCTGAGATGGCAGGGGGCTCTGGAGGGGGGTGGGACAGTGCCAGATATGGCCTGGGGATATTGAATGCCTGGTCAGGACAAGGGGAGGAGGGATGAGTAAAGGAGGACTTCCGTGTGAGAGATGCTCTTTTGCTGTTTTGTCTGCCCTTGGAGATACTTGAAGGACCTTGTCTGGAAGATACACCCTGAGCTGGAGAACAGGACTAGGTGGGGTGTCTCTATGAGATGCCTTTTGGTGCTTGTACCTGTGCTGGGGAACAAGAACTAATGAGGGCGATGGGACTCCTGCCAGGGATGATGCAGGATGCGCAAAGCACCACAGGGGCTAGTTGGGGTGGACAGAGGTTGGAAGGCTGAAACCACATCCCCTCAAGCTGGAGTTGCAAGCAGCCCTCCCACTGTGGCAGGGAGAGGGAGCTGAGCTGCCTTGTCCCTGCTGCAGGACCCTGTAAATGGTGCAGGCCTGACTGGTTACTGCTCCCTGGGCTCCACTGAGGGCAAAGGGATCAGACAGCCTCTCTTGTATTGCAAACCTGCCCATGGGGGAACAGCCAGGACAAGTGGGTACAAAGCTCCTGCTTGTTCAGGCTTTGTGCCTTTCCCCTCTTCTAAGGACTTAGGAAAGAGCAGGGACACGGAACACTGTGCTCCCCTCCAGGTCAGTGCAGGATGTGTTTTTCTAGCTACCCCCATCTCAGCTGCTGCCAGAGTATAGAGCAGACAGCCAAGGAGAAGCCCAAGGACAGAATTTGCAGCTTCATGGGGTGTTCCTTTGCCTGGGTTTGGAGGGAGGGTGTGAGCTCCCTAATACTCCCATGTTCCAGTGGTCCCCAGCTTCTCTCTAGGCCACTGAGGGGAAAGGAAACCTTACATCCCCAGACCATGTGTAGCAAGACAGCATCTCTCCCAGGGCACTGAGGTTGCAGGCTTAATTTTTGCTGCACTTCAGACTGTTCATATTTCACTTCAGGAAATCAGCACAACTGTAAATAAAATTAAAAAAAAAAACCAAACCAACCAAACATCAAAAAACAAGGGGAAAAAGAAACAATCCTAGCTACTTCAAATCACCTGCTCTGGGATACTTCTGGGTTCACTTAAGACCAAGCACAAAGGCTTTAGTTCTGCTGAGGGTTTGCACTGACTCTTGCCAGTGTTTCAGTGAAGTGAAGTTCCTCTAGTCTGAGCAGCCCTAAGGCCTACAGTGCTTATGTAGCCTAGAGAATATCAGGGATTGGCCTTTTCCAGCCTCTGTTCTGGGAAATAATTTGAGGCTTATCTGAATCAAACTTTCAGGGGGATTAAAAAAGTGTATTTTTAAGCTGTGAAAGTTTTTGTGATAAGGCTATATATCTACTTCTTAAAAAAAAATTAATTATGAGAAAAAATTTGAAATCAAAATATGAAAATACTTGTTTTAAACTATAGAAAAATGTGTTTCTGGTTTTGTTTTCAGAAAAGAAGTTCATTAATCCCTAGTAGTTCATATAAGATGATTATTTAAATACAATTTTGAAAGCTGTTTTCTATTTCAAATCCCTTTCCTTGCAGTCTAACTCCAACAGCTGCCCAATTCTGCTAAAAAGGTATTTATGCAGAGGATTGTTTGTCACCTCTAAATACTGAAATAGAGCAAGCTTGCTATTTGTGTCCAGAGAAAACTGCAACACCACAGTGGAAATTACACTTTTCAGACTCTGTTAGGTATACTGTACGTGTTGGTAACTCCTGTTGTAAAATTTGTGTTTGGTCTGAAAGCAGCTGGTTCTGCTACTTGCAAGGAGAAGTTGTTATCTTTTTTTCAGGGCAGGTAAGACTTCTCCAGCCTCGGGCATTTGCTAATTGGGAAGATATTGATTTACAAGTGGTCTGAAGAGGAACAGCAAAAGTGAGCTGGCGGCTGATGGGCATACTTACACAGATGCAAAGATTCCGAAGACATCAGACATATTCACAGAAGAACTTGAGCATCTAAGTACTGTACAACTGCCTCTCTAACCTCCTAAATCCTGACTTGGTTGACCGGTGAAGTTTGTAGGTACTTAAGTTTTTTCTAGTGAAATTTTTGTGCCTAGAAATCTGTTCCTGAGCATGCCTGAATCTGCTTAATTCTGTAGCACTTATTTCTGTGCTTTATGGGGATATCTCTGTTGTGACTGGCCACAGTGTGTATCCTGTGAGGGAAGCAACTCTGCATCCCAACACAGAAGACCCTGTGCCAGGCCACATTAAGTCAGAAGCGGCTGTGAACTCAACTCATTCCCCCCCATCCCTTTGAATCTGTGCCTGGATGTGCTGCTTCTGTCCCAGCTTCAGTGTAAGTGTGGATTGTGCTCCTTCCTATTCCCTTATGAAATGCTAAATTAGTGGGCACAGCTATCCCCCACAGCTTCAGCTTGAGAGATTCAGTTTCCCCTTTCCCACATCCCAGGGGAATGGTTGAATCTCTGGTCCACTTTGTGAGTGTGAACTGGCTTGAAACAGTTCCTTGTTGCCTGAGTTGCTCTCTGTTGCTGGATCATAGGGGCAGTGAAAGCCCTCAAACTCTGCTTGGCAGCACAGTGGCTAGAGTGTAATCTCCAAAGAGGAATTGTGGAGATTTTATTTTTTTTTTATCACTGCAAATACAGAATAGAAATTGGATCCAGATCTGGGTTCTAGGTCTCCCCTTCCCAAGAATAGTGGTTAACTTGCTCCCAGGTCCTGGTTCAATTAGAATTCCAGTATGCTATCCAGGAACCTGATATCTTTCTAGACCTGCAGGTAAAACAGCTTAATGTGCTCAAGAATTTGCAAAAAGCTGCTTTTATGTTCTGGGAGAAAGCCCTAATATCTGTGTTGCAGGTGAAGAAAGTTGCACAGTTGTATGGAGAAAAGGATACCATGAGCTCTTAAGTCTAGAGTTCAGAGAGAGATAATTGTGTTTCTGTAGACCAGGAAAAGTATCTAAATTAAGGACATGGGAGGAATCTCACAGAAGCTCTCCTTACTGTTTGCTTTTGAACAGCATGATTTCTTGCTTAACTTGCTGGAATTTTTTTCCCTATCTAATGTTTAACTATTCTTGTGCATTTAATAAAGAGCTGAACAAGTGTCTAAAGTGTAACTATGAATTTCAGTAGATAGCAAGCTGCCTGAAAGGCAGCCTCTCTGGTGTTCAGCATGGCAAAACCTATGTGCTTTTGTGGATGTCAGTGTAGACATAATTTTGTGCCAGGAAAACAACATAGTAAAACAGGTTCACAGTATGAACAACATGTAGTTAGCCCAGAGTACCAGTGTACCATTCTCAGAGGAAACCCCAGGTGTCTGATCACTTGAGACATAAAGACCTCCCATTTGGCAAATCACCCAAACATGAAAATACCTTGAGAGTGTGTAGGGACTGGACAGTGAAATTAGTGGGCAGCTCTTTCACATGCCACTGGATCTGCTGTTTGAAATCATGGATCTGCTGTTTGAAAGAGGCACAACACATCCACACTTGGCCAAATGTTGATTTAGGCCAGACCAGCAGCCCAGGCTGTGCAGGTCAGTGTGTGTCCAGCACAGCCAAAGAGCACTGCTCTAGCAACGCATGAGCAGAGAGAAATTCTGCTTCACCTGTGCCGTGAGTCCCAGCTGACAGCATGAAATCTGTGCTCCGTGTTGCATGGGCAGGGGCACCAGCCTGGGTCTTGGCAGAAGGTGCAGTTGCTCTGTGTGCATAGGGTGTGTGGCTTCAGCATGATGATCCTCTCAGAAGATCATTGCAGCTGAACAGCAACAAATTCTACTGAGTATCCTGGGGTTTCATAAGTAATGAGTACAACATGTTTCAAAAACACTGTTTCCCACAAATGTTCATATCTTCATTTGTAACAATCCTCATTTCATGTATTAAAATAAACATTGCTGAAGGATACAAAACAATACTTACTGAATTCTTGGTAAGATTTTTGTGCTTGGTCTCCTTCTGTTACAGGTTCCTGGTGGGGTGCTGGTGGAGAGGTGCACTTGGTTATAGAAGGGTAGGGACCCGAAGGTGCAGGCTGACATCTAGTGACAAACTGAGAGAACCTTTAAAGACCGGATATTATCATCAGGCAAAGACTTTGATTCTTTAGGGATGCTTAAGTATCTCATCCCCTTAAATAACTAACCAAGGTCTTAATGTAATAACAATCTACAATTGCATTTCCAGGTTTCCCTTTGAAATGCCTCTGTGGTGGAAATGCTGTTTCACTTTCACAGCGAGTTATTCTGGCACTCACTTTAGCAGTAAAAAAAGTCCAGTCCCCTTCATTCCCATTCACGACTGTCTGCTCTAAAACTTGATTATTCAATTGAGTGCATGCACAGAAGCTCTGATCTAATTCGTATCCCTGAGCTAGAGAAGGAACAGATATGGGTGTGGTGCAGCTCAAGTACATTACATTGAGAGTTTGGATCTTCTGTTTTTTTAGTGAGGGCTATATCTCAAAAGAGAATTCATATTTTTCAATTTAAAGGGGCTTACTGAAAATATCTTTTTATCATGATAAGAGCAGTTAAAAGAATCTCCTCTAGGTACAATCCCAGTAGCTGTTGGTGCCATGACTAGCCACTCAGCTCATTCCTGTGCTAAAGTGCAGCTGATAATACACATCAGCAGGTTTCTCTGCCTATGTCTGTGCAGAGCCTCATAGTCCTTCCCAAAATCATGTCTTTTAAATATAAACTCACAGGCTGAGAATATTAGGCCAAAAGATCAGCTGCAGACAGAAGTGATTTCTTTAGTTAACAATTTTTTGGAAACATTGACTTTCTGTTTTGGAAAGGACTGATTACTATTCCATGTGGGAAATAGCAAAATAAAGATGTCTTACTCAGATACCAGCTCTCTCCCTTACTCACCTATTTCTTGGGATGAGATACTGTTTCTCCTAGGACTTGTGTTTTTCCTTCAGATCAGCTGAATGAGTACGGTCAGTTGTACAATGATCAAATTAACTGTTCAACACTGACCTCTAAAATCATTGTTCAA